AACAAAGTGCTGACTGCACTGAAGCCACACATTAATGATGTCTTTGAGCTGGTGCTAAGAAGACAACTTACCAGTTTTACGGAACTAAATTAGACTTACAGCCCAGGTCAACTATGCTTTAGGGCAGTATGCATGAAACACAAATTAAGAAACATTTCGTACAGAGTTTTTAGAAAAGCACTTGATAAATGTCAACATTGACTAACAGCCCATAAATTGAGAGCTACAGTGATAATGGGTAAAACAGGAAGGGCAGGGAACTATCAGGAGAAAGCGCCAAGCCGCATCTTCAAGAGGAAACTAGATTGTTTCTTCCAAGGAGTGCCGGACCAACCGGGCTGTGGTGGGTATGTGGGCCTGCGGGTCGCTCCAAGCAACAGCCTGGTGGACCAAACTCTCACAAGTCAAGCCTGACCTCGGGCCGGGCTTGGCGAGTAGAAGAACTCCCAGAATCCCATCAACCAGGTATTACGACTATATATATATATATATATATATATATATATATATATATATATATATATATATATATATATATATATATATATATATATATATATGTCGTACCTAGTAGCCAGAACGCACTTCTCAGCCTACTATGCAAGGCCCGATTTGCCTAATAAGCCAAGTTTTCATGAATTAATTGTTTTTCGACAACCTAACCTACCTAACCTAACCTAACCTAACTTTTTCGGCTACCTAACCTAACCTAACCTATAAAGATAGGTTAGGTTAGGTTAGGTAGGGTTGGTTAGGTTCGGTCATATATCTACGTTAAATTTAACTCCAATAAAAAAAATTGACCTCATACATAATGAAATTGGTAACTTTATCATTTCATAAGAAAAAAATTAGAGACAATATATTAATTCAGGAAAACTTGGCTTATTAGGCAAATCAGGCCTTGCGTAGTAGGCCAAAAAGTGCGTTCTGGCTACTAGGTACGACATATATATATATATATATATATATATATATATATATATATATATATATATATATATATATATATAACACTTGGAAGGTATCAGGTTAATGATTTGGGATGGGACGGGGTGGTGGGGGGAAGGAATGGTGCCCAACCACTTGGATGGTCGGGGATTGAACGCCGACCTGCATGAAGGGAGACAGTCGCTCTACCGTCCATTCCAAATCGTTGGAAAATGTAAAGTTTTCGAATTACAGGCAGCAATGAGCAGCGATTAAATAATATTCAACCTGAGTATTGTACAAAGCTTCGAATTATTGAATTCAGTTCCTGAACCAATTATGTGCCTCTGTAACCCTTTCCACCACCACCCACGGAATGGGTATGGGGTGCATAATAAAGACATGAAATGGAAAAACAATACCTATAAAAACTAAAACTAGGACAATGTAGAGTCCTACGCCGCTGCTCTCTATGGTCTTCATATAGCACATAAACTAGGACAATGTACAGTCCTACACCGCTGCTCTCTATGGTCTTCATATAGCACATAAACTAGGACAATGTACAGTCCTACACCGCTGCTCTCTATGGTCTTCATATAGCACATAAACTAGGACAATGTACAGTCCTACGCCGCTGCTCTCTATGGTCTTCATATAGCACATAAACTAGGACAATGTAGAGTCCTACGCCGCTGCTCTCTATGGTCTTCATATAGCACATAGACTAGGACAATGTACAGTCCTACGCCGCTGCTCTCTATGGTCTTCATATAGCACATAGACTAGGACAATGTACAGTCCTACGCCGCTGCTCTCTATGGTCTTCATATAGCACATAAACTAGGACAATGTAGAGTCCTACGCCGCTGCTCTCTATGGTCTTCATATAGCACATAGACTAGGACAATGTACAGTCCTACGCCGCTGCTCTCTATGGTCTTCATATAGCACATAAACTAGGACAATGTAGAGTCCTACGCCGCTGCTCTCTATGGTCTTCATATAGCACATAAACTAGGACAATGTACAGTCCTACGCCGCTGCTCTCTATGGTCTTCATATAGCACATAAACTAGGACAATGTACAGTCCTACGCCGCTGCTCTCTATGGTCTTCATATAGCACATAAACTAGGACAATGTACAGTCCTACGCCGCTGCTCTCTATGGTCTTCATATAGCACATAAACTAGGACAATGTACAGTCCTACGCCGCTGCTCTCTATGGTCTTCATATAGCACATAGACAGGAATATACCCCACAGTTTCTTGTCACCCTTTCCTGATGACACCAAAATAAATATGAAAATTGACTAATAAGAAGATGGAGAAAATTATATTAAGAAATATCAATGAAGTCTTTCAGTGGCCAGGGACAATAATATGACATTCAATACGGACAAATTTCAATTACTTAAGCAGGTAACAAATTAAAACTTACAAGAAATAGAGGATACACGATGTTGTTGTTGTTGTTGTTTAAGATTCGCTACTTGGAACAAAAAGTTCCAAGCAGCACGGGCTATGGTGAGCCCGTAGTAATATACACGATATAGTCAGATCTCTTCATAGAAGGAACGACAAGTAAAAGCTAATACTATCATAATAGTATATGATATTATTAGTAATATTAGTAGTAATATAGTCTAGTATTATTGTAATAATAATAATAGTAATAATATTACTATTATAATAGAAATAATATTTGAAATAGTAATAATATCAGAAAACTTTTCTTTCAGATAACACAACAAAGTAAACATAGCAACAGCAACACCAGGCAAGAAAGAGAGGAATGGGCAGACTGCATATTTTTGGATTGCCAGAAAGCCTTTGACACAGTACCACACAAGAGGCAAGTGAAACAGCTGGAGATGCAGGCAGGAGTGAAAGGGAAGATACTCCATTGGATAAGGGAGTATCGTCCCCAGTGGAGTCCCGCAGGGCTCAGTCCTTGGACCTATACTGTTTCTGATATATGTAAATGATCTCCCGAAGGGTATAGAATCGTTCATCTCATTGTTTGCTGATGATGCAAAAATTATGAGGAGGATTGAAACAGAGGAAGATAGTATGAGGCTAAAAGATGACCTAGATAGACTGAATGAATTGTCTGACAAATGGCTACTAAAGTTCAACCCGAGTAAATACTTGGTAATGAAACTAAGCGGCGGAAACAGAAGGCCAGACACCGGATACCGAATAGGAGATGAAGTACTTCATGAAACGGACAGAGAGAAAGATCTAGGAGTTGATATCACACCAAACCTGTCTCCTGAAGCCCACATAAAGAGAATTACATCTGCGGCATACGTGAGGTTGGCTGACATCAGAACAGCCTTCAGGAACCTGTGTAAGGAATCATTCAGAATCTTGTACACAACATATGTAAGACAATCCTGGAGTATGCGGCCCCAGCATGAAGCCCGTACCTTGTCAAGCACAAGACGAAGCTGGAAAAAGTTCAGTTATGCCACTAGGCTAGTCCCAGAACTAAGAGGCATGAGTTACGAGGAAAGGCTGCGTGAAATGCACCTCACGACACTGGAAGACAGAAGAGTAATGGGAGACATGATCACCACCTACAAAATTCTCAGCGGAATTGACCGGGTTGATAAGGATAAATTGTTTAACTGAGGTGGTACGCGAACAAGGGGACGTTAGAAAGAACTTTTTCAGTGTCAGATTAGTTAACAAGTGGAATGCATTAGGTAGTGATGTGGCTGACTCCATACACAGTTTCAAATGTAGATATGATAGAACCCAGTAGGCTCAGGAATCTGTTCACCAGTTGATTGACAGTTGAGAGGCGGGACCAAAGAGCCAGAGCTCAACCCCCGCAAACACAGCTAGGTGAGTACCAGCGATAGATCTCTACATAGCATTGATGCTATCTTGAATAGAATATTGCTCGGTCTTTTAAAGCAAGCGAGATTGTTTAATAAAACCATTCAACTACAAGGATCGTCTGAAAGAACTCAAACTGTAATTCCTGGAATGGAGACGAGAGGCGAATGTCATACTGACAATACTGGTAGGCCAGGTTCCAAACCTGTGACAGCATACTGGAGTATGCTGTCACTCAGCATACTGGGGTGACAGATATGGTATACGTCAGACATCCACGACTCTTCAACCTCTTGCCAATATATATAAGATGCCTCACTGGAAGAACAGAGACTATTGGGCTTCATTATATCTACATTGGAAGCTGTCCATGGCGTCTGCCTCCACCACATCGCTTCCTAAGAAATTTCATGTAAACAAATTTGACACTGAAAAAAGTTATTTCTAATCTTTGTGGGAAAACTTATTTGGAAAATACGTTTCCTCCTGTGTCGTCTTTTACGTGGACCCCACGTTAAAAACTGTCTTTATCTACTCTGTCAATTCCTTTGAGAATTTTGTAGGTGGCAATTATGGTTACTCTATCTCTTCTGTCTTCGTGTGACGTGAAGTTTAATTCAAGTAACTTTTCCTCGTAACTCAAACCTCTCATTTCCAAGACCAGTCTTAGTGGTATACTTCGGTATGCTGCTGAACTTCCTCTTGCGATAAGGATCCAAGCTGGAGCCGCATACTCTGACATATACGATGACGTTACGTGTGTAACGTTAAGAGTAATGATGACGTTACATGTGTAATGTTACTGTTAATACATGTTACATGCCTGTGACGTTAGGTGAAGGACGTCAGGGTTGTCATATAAGAAGAGTGACATTATGATAGTGATGTCAGATTAGTAACGTTAGGTAAGTGGGGTCAGGTGAGTGTCTTTAGCATACTGCCTTGAAGTGAGTGAATCAGTTAAGTGACATCAGGTGAGTAACGTTAAGTGAGTAAAGTAAATGGTGTTAATTGAAAGACGTTATCATATTCTATTAGAGTCCCACACACGGTACCACAGCGAGAACCACGCTACCAGCCGACGATATCAACAACAGACGAACTAGTCCTCTTTAGTCTCAACATAAACAATGGCCAATCTCGCGGAAATAAATGTTACCATTTCTATTTACCAGCCCGAGCCGACTACCTATTTCCGCCCACCGTCAGAATTTAACAGAATCATATGTTAGGGAAATGAGGAGCGGGAGGAGGTGGTAGTGGCAACATTTTCCACTCATAATGGACGGGGATGAATGTTAGACTTGTGTTGTCTGTGGAACACTTGACTGTGGAACACTGTTGACTGTGGAACACAGTTGACTGTGGAACACTTGACTGTGGAACACTGTTGACTGTGGAACACTGTTGACTGTGGAACACTGTTGACTGTGGAACACTTGACTGTGGAACACTGTTGACTGTGGAACACTTGACTGTGGAACACTGTTGACTGTGGAACACTGTTGACTGTGGAACACTGTTGACTGTGGAACACTTGACTGTGGAACACTGTTGACTGTGGAACACTGTTGACTGTGGAACACTGTTGTCTGGAACACTTGACTGTGGAACACTTGACTGTGGAACACTGTTGACTGTGGAACACAGTTGACTGTGGAACACTGTTGACTGTGGAACACTTGACTGTGGAACACTGTTGACTGTGGAACACTTGACTGTGGAACACTGTTGTCTGAGGAACACTGTTGACTGTGGAACACTTGACTGTGGAACACTGTTGACTGTGGAACACTGTTGTCTGAGGAACACTGTTGACTGTGGAACACTTGACTGTGGAACACTGTTGACTGTGGAACACTTGACTGTGGAACACTGTTGACTGTGGAACACTTGACTGTGGAACACTGTTGTCTGAGGAACACTGTTGACTGTGGAACACTTGACTGGAACACTGTTGACTGTGGAACAATGTTGGCTGTGGAACACTGTTGACTGTGGAACACTGTTGACTGTGGAACACTGTTGACTATGGAACACTGTTGACTGTAGAACAATGTTGACTGGAACACTGTTGACTGTGGAACACTGTTGACTGTGGAACACTGTTGACTGTGGAACACTGTTGACTGTGGAACAATGTTGACTGGAACACTGTTGACTGTGGAACAATGTTGACTGTGGAACACTGTTGACTGTGGAACACTGTTGACTGTGGAACAATGTTGACTGTGGAACACTGTTGGCTGTGGAACACTGTTGACTGTGGAACACTTGACTGTGGAACAATGTTGACTGTGGAACACTGTTGACTGTGGAACACTGTTGTCTGTGGAACAATGTTGACTGTGGAACACTTGACTGTGGAACAATGTTGACTGTGGAACACTGTTGACTGTGGAACACTGTTGACTGTGGAACACTGTTGGCTGTGGAACACTTGACTGTGGAACACTGTTGACTGTGGAACACTGTTGTCTGTGGAACAATGTTGACTGGAACACTGTTGACTGTGGAACACTGTTGACTGTTTAACACTGTTGGCTGTGGAACACTGTTGACTGTGGAACACTGTTGACTGTGGAACACTGTTGACTGTGGAACACTTGACTGTGGAACACTGTTGACTGTGGAACACTTGACTGTGGAACACTGTTGACTGTGGAACACTATTGACTGTGGAACACTGTTGTCTGTGGAACACTGTTGACTGTGGAACACTGTTGACTGTGGAACACTGTTGTCTGTGGAACACTGTTGGCTGTGGAACACTGTTGACTGTGGAACACTGTTGTCTGTGGAACACTGTTGACTGGCACACTGTTGACTGTGGAACACTGTTGACTGTGGAACACTGTTGACTGTGGAATACTGTTGTCTGTGGAACACTGTTGACTGTGGAACACTGTTGACTGTGGAACACTGTTGGCTGTGGAACACTGTTGACTGTGGAACACTGTTGTCTGTGGAACACTGTTGACTGTGGAACACTGTTGACTGTGGAACACTGCTGACTGTGGAACACTGTTGACTGTGGAACACTGTTGACTGTGGAACACTGTTGACTGTGGAACACTGTTGACTGTGGAACACTCGGTGACGGAGTGAACTGTCTCACAACACACTCCGTCTGTGCCTCTATTAGGCCTAAACGACCTCAAACGCAAAGTACAAGTTACCAGGTGAACATTATAGTGTGGTGGGCTCGCTGGATGTATTTCAAGGTGGAATAGAAGAGAGGTGGAGTAGCAGACGGAGTAAATAATAATAATGAGAAAATCCACTGGGGCTATGAGATGGGCTCGAACCTACGACCCCAGCATTGCCAGTCGCATACTCCACCACTAGACCCCTGCTGATTGAATACTGTATATATGCCATTGATATATATCAATGAAACACAAGCAATAAATATGTCAATGATACATATATATATTTGAAAATAATATATATCACGTCAATATGATTTTGTGTGAATAATAATAATAAGAATAATCTATATAAATAAAAATGTCAATGTTCGTTTGTTCAAAATCGCTACTCTCCAAAAGTTCTTCACTGATTGCTTTAAAATTTTGACACGATGTTCCATTTCGCATCCGAGCGGGTTTTTATATACCTACTATACAGATGTCTCGTCTGTGACGGGAAAAACACCTTTTTTAAACTGTGTTTTTCATGTGTTTTTCATGTGAGGGAAATCTTCGAAACCTCTTTACCGATTGCTTTGAAATTTTGACACAACGTTACAATCGAATACGCGCATGTTTTTATATACCTACTATATAGATACCTCACCTGTGACAGGAAAAAACATTTTTTTTTTTTTTTAAACAGTGCCATCTGTTGCACGTAATAGCAACACACGCTATACTAAATATGTTACGATTCAATTTCAGTGTTTCCGATTGCATTGATAAATTTAATTTTCACAGATTTCGATTTAGTTTCATTTTGATTTAATTATTGTGTGTGACATTGCATTGGAATTGAGCTGTGTTGTATACCATTCTGTTCATTTCGTGAGTATAGTTATTTTTATTTTGGGTTCATTGTTTTTCATTTCGTTTTTTTAACTGTTCTTTTTTTTATCATTATGATCTAACAACAGATCATTTGATGTTCCCATTTTTCTGATGGGAACATCAGATCATTTGGGAACGCATCGGACGAGGGAGTGGGGGAGGAAAGGGAGGACGAGCGGACAGGGTGGAGGTAATGGTAGGGAGGACGAGGGGATGGAGGACGAGGGAGTGTGGAATGGTGAGAAGGACGAGGGGACGGGGAATGGAGAATGTTGAGGAGGACAAGGAGACAGTGGAGTGGGGGATGATGTGGAGGACGAGGGGACGGAGGAGGGTGGAATGGTGGGTTGAACAACGGGACGGGGCAGTTGGGTTTTGTGGGGAGGACGAGGGAACGGGAGAGTGGGGGATGGTGGGGAGGACGAGGGGACGGGAGAGTGGGGGATGGTGGGGAGGACGAGGGGATGGGGGAGGGGGGGGGGAAGACATGGAGACAGGGGAAGGTTGCTGCGGCTTAGCAACACACATGCATTGCTGAGCCACAGCAACGCGTGACCGGGTACAGCTAGTAATAATAATAATGTTTATTGAAAAGAATGTGTGTTCAAAGTACATAAGAGTAAGTTAGAGTTGTAGGAAGAGGCCTTACACATACTAGTGAAGCCACTATTATGCAAGGCATTTCGGGCAAAACTTAAAAAAATAATATTGAAAATAATTTAAGCTAACAAAATGAAGATGTTCAAGGAAAATAACAATTGAATGCCAAAAATGGTGATATTTACGGATAACAGGCACAGACTGTTACATTATGGAGTCAGTCTTTCGCCTTTCCATTGGAGACTTTCTGCCGTGGAGAGGGGGGACCTGCTGCATGGGTGACAGCTTCTCCCCCGTATCAACCTGCCCTGGCTTTGCATCCTGGAGAGGCCACTCCAGACCGACAACCAGAGCGCAACTCCATAGTTTCTTGAGACTAATGGATGCCTACTACTACTAGTTCTAGCAGAGTACAGTAAAACAGAGGCGAAAAAGAAACAGGGATAAAGGAGGAAACCCCACCTCCATTTAAAACTTTGACCCAAATATCACAGTAACAAGGTTATCAGGAATAACCGAACTCATTTACGGGCTCACTATAGTCCGTGCTACATGGACATTTTGTTCTGAGTAGCTAAATCTAAAACAACAACAAAAACATCCCACACAAGGGACAAGAGCCCAACTGACTGCCGTAACACTCAAGGTCTGCTCGATGCTCGTGCCTGTCACGAGGGTCAGAAACACAGACGACTGTAGAGAAGGAAAAAATCACGGAACTGCTTAAACAGAGGCAAATATATCTAAACATGGAGATAGAAGAAATAGAGGAGATGCTAGAGGGATCATACCAGTTTGAGGGATTGAAACTGAAAGCTATACAAGAGATAAAGAAAGTCAAAATATTTGTAATCATATGCGAAATCAAAATAAAAAACCTCCAGCAGGATTGAACCTTTACTTACAACCGAAGGTTCGTATACAGAGGATGACAAATAAAGTTGGGAAATCGTAAGAGGCCAGAATGAGGCTGTGTTTAGCACCCCAATAAACAACATGGAAGATGAAGATCCAAACAGCTTCAAAGAGTCGTTTTGACCCCCCAACAAAGGTTAGGAGACTACTAGTACACTTTCCGAATAGAAAATGTCCTACGATCCTTCTGTTTGGCTCCTGAAGATCCTAGCAGCTTGCAGTGTGTGCTCTTGAGGAATACACTGCAGATATACGTAGAAGAGATGTTGAATAGAAGATCGATGGAGAAGAAGAGAGGTGGAGTGGAACTGAGCCCGAGTAAGAAGCAAGACATGAAACATAAGGAGAAGGAAAGCTTCGAGACGAACATTTAGAGGGATAATCTAGGAAGAGTCAAACTGCTCAGTATGAGAAAATATATACACAAAGACAGTGAAATTTATTTGAAAATAGAAGATATAGAGTAGCATGTGCACTTATTTATCTATTGTTGATGCCTTGAGGATCGAGTTCTTAGCTCTTGGACCCCTTGAAAATAGGTACAAGGTACCTATTTTCTGCTAGACACTGGAAGGCAGAAGAGTAAGGGGAGACATGATCACTACCTACAAAATTCTCAGAGGAATTGACAAAGTAGATAAAGATAAATTGTTTAACACGGGTGGTACGCGAACAAGGGGACACAGGTGGAGACTGAGTACCCAAATGAACCACAGGGACGTTAGAAATAACTTTTTCAGTGTCAGAGTAGTTAACAGGTGGAATGCATTAGGCAGTGATGTGGTGGAGGCTGACTCCATACACAGTTTCAAATGTAGATATGATAGAGCCCAGTAGGCTCAGAAACCTGTACACCTGTTGATTGACAGTTGAGAGGGGGGACCAAAGAGCCAGAGCTCAGCCCCTACAAGCACAACTAGGGGAGTACACACCACTCTACCATCAAGGACCGATGCTGACCTCTGAATAAACACCGTAGGACATATTCCATTCGGACAGTGTACTAGTAGTCTCCTAACCTTTGTTTGGGGGTCAAAAACGACTCTCTTACCGTTCTGAAATGTTTACGAAAATTACCCATAAAATGAGAATTTTTACGTTTAATGGAACTTTTATATCCGAACCATATATATATCGCCCTGGTTTATGAAGGTTTTATGTGATTCAAGTGTCAGTTTGATCCCAAGTGCCCAATCGCTGCCGGTCGAGTTGGAGGGAGAGTCGGGTCATCATTTTCGGGAAAGTGAGCTTTGGGCCACAGACCCTTCCCCTCACCCATGTTCACTATCAGGTCAGGGACACAGGTGTTCACTGCCAGGTCAGGGACACACATGTTCACTGCCAGGTCAGGGACACACGTTCTCTGCCAGGTCAGGGACACATGTTCTCTGCCAGGTCAGGGACACATGTTCTCTGCCAGGTCAGGGACACAGGTGTTCACTATCAGGTCAGGGACACACATGTTCATTATCAGGTCAGGGACACAGGTGTTCACTATCAGGTCAGGGACACACATGTTCATTATCAGGTCAGGGACACAGGTGTTCACTGCCAGGTCAGGGACACACATGTTCTCTGCCAGGTCAGGGACACACATGTTCTCTGCCAGGTCAGGGACACATGTTCTCTGCCAGGTCAGGGACACACATGTTCTCTGCCAGGTCAGGGACACATGTTCTCTGCCAGGTCAGGGACACATGTTCTCTGCCAGGTCAGGGACACAGGTGTTCACTGCCAGGTCAGGGACACATGTTCTCTGCCAGGTCAGGGACACATGTTCTCTGCCAGGTCAGGGACACACATGTTCTCTGCCAGGTCAGGGACACACATGTTCTCTGCCAGGTCAGGGACACACATGTTCTCTGCCAGGTCAGGGACACACATGTTCTCTGCCAGGTCAGGGACACACATGTTCTCTGCCAGGTCAGGGACACATGTTCTCTGCCAGGTCAGGGACACATGTTCTCTGCCAGGTCAGGGACACACATGTTCTCTGCCAGGTCAGGGACACACATGTTCTCTGCCAGGTCAGGGACACACATGTTCTCTGCCAGGTCAGGGACACACATGTTCTCTGCCAGGTCAGGGACACACATGTTCTCTGCCAGGTCAGGGACACATGTTCTCTGCCAGGTCAGGGACACATGTTCTCTGCCAGGTCAGGGACACACATGTTCTCTGCCAGGTCAGGGACACACATGTTCTCTGCCAGGTCAGGGACACACATGTTCTCTGCCAGGTCAGGGACACACATGTTCTCTGCCAGGTCAGGGACACACATGTTCTCTGCCAGGTCAGGGACACATGTTCTCTGCCAGGTCAGGGACACACATGTTCTCTGCCAGGTCAGGGACACACATGTTCTCTGCCAGGTCAGGGACACACATGTTCTCTGCCAGGTCAGGGACACACATGTTCTCTGCCAGGTCAGGGACACACATGTTCTCTGCCAGGTCAGGGACACATGTTCTCTGCCAGGTCAGGGACACATGTTCTCTGCCAGGTCAGGGACACACATGTTCTCTGCCAGGTCAGGGACACACATGTTCTCTGCCAGGTCAGGGACACACATGTTCTCTGCCAGGTCAGGGACACACATGTTCTCTGCCAGGTCAGGGACACACATGTTCTCTGCCAGGTCAGGGACACACATGTTCTCTGCCAGGTCAGGGACACACATGTTCTCTGCCAGGTCAGGGACACACATGTTCTCTGCCAGGTCAGGGACACACATGTTCTCTGCCAGGTCAGGGACACACATGTTCTCTGCCAGGTAAGGGACACATGTTCACTGCCAGGTCAGGGACACATGTTCTCTGCCAGGTCAGGGACACATGTTCTCTGCCAGGTCAGGGACACAGAACAAACTACTACTCTTCCCACTGAACATTCTCTGCCACACACACACACACAGACCTACTAACAACGTGAGTGATAGTGACAGCTAATTCTTTGCACCACAGGAATAACAAGGAATAAAGGGCACCTTCTTTTTAATATATGTATTTGAATATGTTCATTGAGACTCCTAATTAGTTGTGTCTGTGAACCTGATGAACAGCTCTGTGCCCCACAATTGATAACCCAAATGAATTTTTCACGGATATGATACCAACATCAAATCATATATCAGACGTCACCCTATCCCCACTGAATTTTGAAGAAGCCGTAGATAATATGCCTATGCACTCCGCACCAGGCCACCAGGTTCTTGGAACTCCATATTCATCAAGAACTGTAAAAAAATCATTATCGCAGGCCCTTCACAGTCTTTGGAGACAAAGCCTAGATACTGGCGTTATCCCTGACATACTAAAAACAGCAGAGATAGCACCACTTCATAAAGGAGGAAATAAGGCAGAGGCAAAAAATTACAGACCGATAGCACTAACATCGCACATCATAAAAATCTTTGAGAGAATGCTAAGAAGTAAGATCACAAAATACATGGAATCACAGCATCTCCATAACCCTGGAAAACATGATTTCAGAACAGGGAGCTCTAGCCTGTCGCAGTTGCTGGACCACTATGACATGGCATTAGATGCTATGGAAGACAAACAAAACGCTGATGTAATTTACACAGATTTCGCAAAAGCCTTTGACAAATGTGACCATGGTGTTATTGCATACAAAATGCGTTCAAAAGGAATTACCGGAAAAATAGGCAGATCGATCTACAATTTTCTGATTAACAGAACCTAATGTGTAATAGTCAAGAAAATAAAATCCGGTCCATCAACTGTGAAGAGCTCAGTCCCTCAGGATACTGTGCTTGCTCCAGTACTTTTACTCAAACTCATATCGGACATAGTGTAACACCACCAATTTGTAACATTGTAACACCACTCTAAATGTACACACTACTTATTCTGAGTAACACTTCCCCATCGGTTGCACTTGGTAACACTGTTATGAGCTGACATATGATGGTTCAACCCGTTCTCGCAAATTTAATAAGTCAATATTGACTTATTAAATATGTGCATAGGTGACATACTTAACATAATAGATTCCCTTAAAAAGATTCATAGAAAACACCGACCTTACCTAACCTTGTTAGTATCTTAAGATAAGCATCTTATAGCTTCGTAATTACAATTATTACCTAACCTATAATAGGTATAGGTTAAGTAATAATTGTAATTACGAAGCAATAAGATGCTTATCTTAAGATAGTAACAAGGTTAGGTAAGGTCGGTGTTTTCTATGAATCTTTTTAAGGGTATCCCCTCACTGGCAAACCCCTCACAGTGTTCAAGAGAGAACTGGATAAGCACCTCCAAAGGATACCTGATCAACCAGGCTGTGACTCATACGTCAGGCTGCGAGCAGCCGCGTCTAACAGCCTGGTTGATCAGTCCAGCAACCAGGAGGCCTGGTCGACGACCGGGCCGCGGGGACACTAAGCCCCGGAAGCACCTCAAGGTAGCCTCAAGGTAGGTAGGTATCTATTATGTTTAGTATATCACCTATGCACGTAGTTAATAAGTCAATATTGACTACGAATTTGCGAGAACGGGTTGGATGGTTACACCGGAACTCAAAGGTACACTGCCAACAAGGAAATGCTAACCCAGGATTAAATACGCTGCCACCATCTGCCTTTGTCCATTGAGACTATATCAAGCAACGAGGCAAGAAACATTGCTTGACTTGGAGAGTACTTTCTATGACTGTCATTAATTATGAAAATGGTTGTCAGCCACTATATCCAAAAGGCTAAGAGGATTCAACAATTGACACAGACGGGAAATTTAACATGCGTTTATTGAGACCAAAATTATGTCAATCACCACTTATAAATCCTACTCTAACACTGGCAAAAATTTAAGAAATTTGGACATGGAACAAAACCTCAGGGATCACACACATTACCTTAAGATCTCTGTCTCTCCTTCTGTCACCTCCCGATGTTCTCCACAGCCCTCTCTGGACCCCGGTGTCCGGCACTCTGTCTTACTAAGTCCCTACAGGACCTCTATATACAACCCCCCACAGGGGGGAGAGGGGAGATCTGCTGTTGCTACCTACACCAAGAATGTAAGAGATCGGCCACACGTGTACAAACACTCAAGAAATATTTCAATAAGTTTGTTTGACATTCACCATACACTCTTCAAGAGAGGAGTTATTAATTATGTGTGTGACTGACCTCTGACCTGGCCAAAAGGGGGAGATCCATGGATGTTTACACATAAGAATCTGGGGTCTAATTCCCTTGCAATGTTTGACCAGAGTATCATGAAATATTACATACTTGAAACTATGCTGACTAAGACTAACCCAGGAATTTTTTTAATCAACAACAAGATAATCCGGAGGTCATCTGGGCTGACCTCTTGGAGAAGGCTTCCCTGGGTGTGAACTCTAAGGGGGGGGGGGAGGTCATGGGTGTTACAATAGACAAGGACACAATCTGTACTGTATCTTCCTTTGCAGATGACACTAGGATTTTTATGAGAGTAGACAACACAACAAACTTCCAATCAGATGTAAATCAGGTATTTCTATGGGCTTCAGAAAATAATATGGTGTTTAACGAACATAAGTTCCAGCTCATGCGATTCGGAAAAAAATAAAAATATTAAAGCAGAAACCACGTACAAAACTCGGTCAAATGATAACATAGAACGAAAAGGTAATGTAAAAGATCTGGGTGTACTCATGTCGGAAGACCTTACCTTTATAGAACACAATAAAGTTGCCGTCACAACTGCAAGAAAAATGACAGGTTGGATAACAAGAACTTTTCACACTAGAGATGCTATACCGATGATGATACTTTTCAAGACGCTTGTGCTCTCTAGAGTGGAGTACTGCTGCACAATGACAGCCCCTTTCAAAGCTGGAGAAATTGCTGACCTGGAGAGCGTGCAGAGATCCTTTACTGCTAGAATCCACTCAGTAAAACATCTAAACTACTGGGAGCAAGTAAAATGCCTAAATCTGTTCTACCTCTTCTTTTGACCATGTCGTGGCGCAATCAACTAAGGCGTGTCTGGGATCATCCCGGACGTCGGTTCGAACCCTCATCACAGCCCTTGTGGATTTGTTCATTTGATGTATCACGCTATTGTGATTTCTGTGTGTATATTATATGCTGTTAAATTATGAGTACTTGTAGTTGTTGTACCTGGTATCAGTTTTCCCACAGCTTAGTCAACATTCTGAATGAGCTGGTCTCATCATTTAGGGTGTTGGTGCATACCTGGAGCATACCCGGAGAGGTATGCTCCAGGTATGGAACATACATGGAGCTTCATACATGGAGCTTCTGGGAGTTCTTCTACCCCCCCCCCCCATCCTCCCGAGCCCGACCTGAGGTCAGGCTTGACTTGTGATAGCTTGGTCCAACAGGCTGTTGCCTGGAGCGGCCCGCAGGCCCACATATCCACCACATCCTTGTTGGTCTGGAACTTGAGGCCAGGCTCGACTAGTGATAACTTGGTTCAACAGATCACAAGTCCAAGTGTGGGTTGGGTGCCCTCAGCTTGCAGTCCGAGGTAGGCAGTGAAGGCTGGACACCTCGTACCCTCTAGAGATATAGATCAAGATCACTGTTGAACAGAATTTGAGGTTGGGTATTTTCCTTAAGTTGGGAAGGTGTTGGAAAGCCTTTGACATTTGAAATTACGATAATTGTATCCATATTTTTATTTACTGAGATCAACAGGGCTTCCTGATTTCCCATGAAATTATTTCAGTGGGCAGATTATAAATTAGTATATATAAATTTCAAATGTAGATGATAATGAAACGAATATATTCTTCAGAATGTAATTTTATGATTTTTTCTCATTCCCAAGATTTTTGTAATTTTTCTGATTGAATTCAGGTAGAAGTAGTACCCTAGGCATCCTTCAGTCTCTGGAGACTATGGAGTTGCACCGTAGCTGTCAATCCTGGTGCAGCGTCTGGTGTGACTGATGAGGCCAATCCGAGAGTGGCAGTCCATCCCACACCGAGCACAAACGAAGTCCGATTCTGGTCTGTCTTCCTGGCTACCGGTTTTCCTTCTCTGTCTCTTTGCCTCCGATTTCTTGGCAAGTGACTCCTCGAACTTGGAGAGACCTCTTTGAACGGACTGCCCATTTTCTATACACTTTTTTCACTTCTACTTTACATTTCTTCGTGAATATTGAATTCCTGGAGTCAGGACCCAGGACTGAGTGCATCAATTTCCCTTTCAAAGTTTTCTATGCTCGTGTTGATATCAGTTATATTGACATAAGCCATCGTGCTGGCCTCAATTGTTCCTTGATATCAAGCAGGTATCCTGTAAACTAGCCTACAGGGCGTAGAATATGGCTATAAGCCTGAAAATACACAACGTAACTGTCCCTATTTTCAGCTTGTTACAACTTGTAATAAAGGTCTTACATCTCGTTATAACGTTTTTGTGGCGTATTAGAATGTTGTTACAACTTGCTGTATTGGTTGTTACAACTTGTTAGGTGTTAAAACTTGTTCGAACGTTGTAGCAACGTCGTAGTTTAGTCGTGTCTTTGGCGGGAAGCCAGCGTGCAGTCGTCGAATGTCGTCATAAGCCAGGGTCGACCACTGACGACACTAACCGCATTAATCAAAGCTGCTTCATACGTGGATGATGCGTTGTACCAACGTCCCTGGTCAGTAAAGAGAAGCTGTCAAGGGGCACCTCGAAGGACCGCTTGCCCCCTGGTCGGGCACCTCGAAGGACCGCTTGCTCCGTGGTCGTGCACCTCGAAGGACCGCTTGCTCCGTGGTCGTGCACCTCGATGGACCACTTGCCCCCTGGCCGGGCACTCCAGAGGACCGATTATCCCTGAATAACACAAGAAGGACCGCTAGCGGTTGAAGCCATCGTCGGGCAGCAACTCACTGGCTGCTCAACGCATAACAGAACATCTCACATGCCGCTGCTTACATGATGTACTGGATAAAGTTGCAGCAAGTGTCCATACAGACTCATTATACATGCATGCTGTGAAACATTGGTGCAGTTAATTATAATTTGATATTCAGTCTTAGTTAATTCTTATGCAAGCTGGAAATGTCTGTGTAGCGAAGTGAAGTTTGATAATTGGGTCAAGGTATGAGCGAGAAAGTGACTGGAGAAAGTTTCTATCTCCAAGTGATTGGAGAAAGAAATCAGAGAGAGATTATGTTTATTTCTAAATATTTATATTAAAAAAATAGAATTATATCTTGGGCAGAAGGCTGTTAGCCTGAGCGACGTCACTAGAGGACGAAGGACCTACCTTTCCCAGGATGTAACCCCACGACACTGGCCTAACTCTCAGGTACCTATTTACTGCTAGGTGTACAGAAACATCAGATTTATGAAAATGCACCCAAATATCTCTCCATGGCTGAGAATCGAACCCGGGATCAATAGATTGGGAGCCGACTGCACTGTTAGGATATTGTCTCTTTCTGCAATCAATCAAGTTACGGGCTCATCATAGCCCGTGCTACATGGAACTTTGTTCCAGGTAGCGAATCTTTAACAACAACAACTCTTTCTGTCTCACGTAAATATGTTTTATGTTCATCAGTCGGTTCATTAGACATATTGCCGGAACAACCGTGGACATCTTCAAGAGAAAACTACATAGTTTTCTACAAGGCGTGTCGGAGCAACTAGGCTGTGGTGGGTATGTGGGCCTGCGGGCCGCTCCAAGCAACAGCCTGGTGGACCAAACTCTCACAAGTCGAGCCTGGCCTCGGGGTGGGCTCGGGAAGTAGAACAACTCCCAGAACCCCATCAACCAGGTATTAAGCAGGTGCGTTTAGATTCATAATATTATAACATTCTGTTGGCCAGTAGCACTAACATTCTCCTTTTGGTCATTTTCAGCTTCCTTCTTCGGATCGTCGTACGTGGCTCTTCCCCTCCAGGAGGCCAGGAGCTCGACCGAGATCAGCTTACGGCTCAAGACACACCGTGCCGACGCCCTCCTGCTCCTGGCGGCGGGCAACACCGACTACTGCCTGGTGGTGTTGGAGGGAGGCGCTCTGAGGGTGAGTACATCACACAAGTCGTAAATGGCTTGTATTGGAACTACATATTGTTGAAAACACTGTAGTAGACAGCTTAATTGTTCCTCTTTTCTTCATTACATACATTAAATAGCTTACAATCAAATTGCATCGTGCTTGTCTCTGCAGTCAGGCATGTATGCATACTTAATAAGGGGCTCAAAGTCAAAAGGTTTTGGATTCCTTCTCACATTGGCCTGCAGGAACATGATAAAGTTGACGCCCTTGCTGAGCTTGTAGTATATGAAGACAGTGTTAAACTGAATTTAGGGCTATCAAATTGAACCCTTAAAAGTGTCATTAGATGGTAACTCTTAGATGAATTTCAAGAAGGTAGAATAGTACAAATAGGAACAAACAGATCTATTGTTCATCACAATGAAATGTGTCAAGTAAAACATGTGTATGTGGGAAGTAAAACATGTGTATGGGGGAAGTAAAACATGTGTATGGGGGAAGTAAAACATGTGTATGTGGGAAGTAAAACATGTGTATGGGGGAAGTAAAACATGTGTATGGAGGAAGTAAAACATGTGTATGGGGGAAGTAAAACATGTGTATGGGGGAAGTAAAACATGTGTATGTGGGAAGTAAAACATGTGTATGGGGGAAGTAAAACATGTGTATGGGGGAAGTAAAACATGTGTATGTGGGAAGTAAAACATGTGTATGGGGGAAGTAAAACATGTGTATGGGGGAAGTAAAACATGTGTATGGGGGAAGTAAAACATGTGTATGGGGGAAGTAAAACATGTGTATGGGGGAAGTAACAACATGTGTATGGGGGAAGTAAAACATGTGTATGGGGGAAGTAAAACATGTGTATGGGGCAAGTAACAACATCAGCAGACTAACAGATAATGCCACATCTCGAATAAGACTTGGCTACAAGTATCTCTGGCAGTTGGGCTTGTATAGGGATCTAGATGAAGTAAAGTGTAAAGTGTGTGGACAAAGACAGGGACACACACACACACTAGGACAATTACATCTTAGACAATGACAATATTCTGCATTTACATATAGATATAAACTCACGCTGCATGAACAAATCCACAAGGGCCGTGGCGAGGATTCGAACCTGCGTCCGGGAGGAAATAGCAAATCATCCCATTATAAATTATAAATGATAAAATGCCTGAAATTCTTGCACAGTATCCATGTTTATCTTCTAGTAGATAAATGACACTATAGTGAGAAGATTATTAAATAAATAGCAGCTCTGCTATGACCTTAATGCCATACCTCATATCTAAAATATTTTTTGTATTAGAAAATTCCTCCCTTCATTGTATAATAATTTATTGTTAATACGTAGATACTGTACTTATTTTTAAGTAGCTGACATTATAATTACAAGGTGTGCAGGTTACATGTACTAGTTAACGTATGATTCATCCCTGTGTCATCTAAACTACCGCTCCCAGGATGAGTATGGGGTGCACAATAATCTACCGCTCCCAGGATGAGTATGGGTTGCACAATAAACTACCACTCACAGGATGAGTATGGGGTACACAATAAACTACAATTCGCAGGATGAGTATGGGGTGCACAATAAACTACCGCTCACAGGATGAGTATTGGGTGCACAATAAACTACCACTCACTGGATGAGTATTGGGTGCACAATAAACTACCACTCGCAGGATGAGTATGGGGTGCACAATAAACTACCACTCGCAGGATGAGTATGGGGTGCACAATAAACTACCACTCGCAGGATGAATATGGGGTGCACAATAAACTACCACTCGCAGGATGAGTATGGGGTGCACAATAAACTACCACTCACAGGATGAGTATGGGGTGCACAATAAACTACCACTCACAGGATGAGTATGGGGTGCACAATAAACTACCACTCGCAGGATGAGTATGGGGTGCACAATAAACTACCACTCGCAGGATGAGTATGGGGTGCACAATAAACTACCACTCCCAGGATGAGTATGGGGTGCACAATAAACTACCACTTGCAGGATGAGTATGGGGTGCACAATAAACTACCACTCGCAGGATGAGTATGGGGTGCACAATAAACTACCACTCGCAGGATGAGTATGGGGTGCACAATAAACTACCACTCGCAGGATGAGTATGGGGTGCACAATAAACTACCACTCACAGGATGAGTATGGGGTGCACAATAAACTACCACTCGCAGGATGAGTATGGGGTGCACAATAAACTACCACTCGCAGGATGAGAATGGGGTGCACAATAAACTACTACTCGCAGGATGAGTATGGGGTGCACAATAAACTACCACTTGCAGGATGAGTATGGGGTGCACAATAAACTAGCAGCCTCCGGCGGCAACAACCAATCAGTCGTAAGATGTTTGACAACATTGAAGGCCGACCATCTTGTGATAAACAAAAGGTAATGTCTATGACTCTTTCCCTCATACTCTGGCTCTCCCACACCCGAGAGGTGTGTCTGGTCTGTGGTTAACTAAGGGGCCTGACGGCTGAGTTGACAGCGCTCGGAATTCGTAGTCCTAAGGTTCCGGGTTCGATCCCGATGGAGGCGGGAAAAAATATGGGAAGAGTTTCTTTCATCCTGATGCTCCTGTTCACCTAGCGGTAAATAGGTACCTGGGAGTTAGACAGGTGCTACGGGCTGCTTCCTGGGGGGTAACAAATAGGAGGCCTGGTCGAGGACCGGGCCGCGGGGACGCTAAGCCCCGAAATCATCTCAAGATTACCTCAAGATAAGATAATCTACCATAGTTAAAAGTTGCGTGATGACCTAACACACATCTCAAATGAGTAGTTTGGTCACCATATCTTCAGCCTGGTTATTGTGACTAATCGGCTACTTGTTAATTTCACACTCGGATTTACCGTCCCTTAAGAATAATGCAGGATAGACATATTCAGCCCGGACCAACCGGGCTGTGGTGGGTATGTGGGCCTGAGGGCCGCTCCAAGCAACAGCCTGGTGGACCAAACTCTCACAAGTCAAGCCTGATCAAGCCTGGTTAAACCCATACGTCAACTTGTACACCTCTAATATGTCACCACTAGTTTTTCACCTTCTGTTAGTATTCTTTGCTTTCCTTATTCCGAGCAGACCTTTAGCGAAACATATAAAAGGCTGTATTAGTGTGACAAGAAGTACAAATTTCCAGTTAAATACATGAACTCAAAACAAAAATCGATGTAATGGAAATATATTGCATGAGCAGCAAAGATTTAGAGCAGACCGGGCTTGGGGAGTAGTAGACCGGGCCGGGCTTGGGGAGTAGTAGACCGGGCCGGGCTTGGGGAGTAGTAGACCGGGCCGGGCTTGGGGAGTAGTAGACCGGGCCGGGCTTGGGGAGTAGTAGACCGGGCCGGGCTTGGGGAGTAGTATACCGGGCCGGGCTTGGGGAGTAGTAGACCGGGCCGGGCTTGGGGAGTAGTAGACCGGGCCGGGCTTGGGGAGTAGTAGACCGGGCCGGGCTTGGGGAGTAGTAGACCGGGCCGGGCTTGGGGAGTAGTAGACCGGGCCGGGCTTGGGGAGTAGTAGACCGGGCCGGGCTTGGGGAGTAGTAGACCGGGCCGGGCTTGGGGAGTAGTAGACCGGGCCGGGCTTGGGGAGTAGTAGACCGGGCTGGGCTTGGGGAGTAGTAGACCGGGCCGGGCTTGGGGAGTAGTAGACCGGGCCGGGCTTGGGGAGTAGTAGACCGGGCCGGGCTTGGGGAGTAGTAGACCGGGCCGGGCTTGGGGAGTAGTAGACCGGGCCGGGCTTGGGGAGTAGTAGACCGGGCCGGGCTTGGGGAGTAGTAGACCGGGCCGGGCTTGGGGAGTAGAAGAACTCCCAGAACCCCATCAACCAGGTATCAAGGAAGCGTATATATATATTTGAGTGAGTTTGGATGGATATAAACAGTATATTTAACTATATATAAATATAATATATATAAAAAGCGAAGACTCATACGTATTCAGAGTTAAATGGCAAGTTTTTCTCTGAATGCTCTGTGTTCCCTTCTCTGAGGCTGTGGGTCCCTATAATTGCATCAGAGGTGGTACCCCCCTACATATATATAAATATATATAAACTATAAATATATATAAATAAATATATATAAATAAATATATATAAATAAATATATATAAATATATATAAATAAATATATATAAATATATATAAATAAATATATATAACTATAACTTATATAAATAAGTCTTGTGCAGTTTCCTTGATTCTTAAGGTCTTGTGTGGTTATAAACTAACAAACAAGTGGTGGATATGTGACTACCAGAAGATAAACGGTAAGAGTGCATGAAGAAGAGAACAGTATTTCGCACTTATCATCCCAAATATGCTAAAGCTTCTGGCACACTGGCCGCCACAGATCACAGGAAAGTTGAGAGATCTGTTCCTCTCCTGCAAAAATAAAAAAGGTCCACTACGGGCTCACCATAGCCCGTGCTACTTGGAATGTTTTGTTCCAGGTAGCAAATCTTAAACAATATCATTCCTGCTTAACTTTCGGGCAGAGTGTGTGTTGCGCCGGCTTGGTCGAGAGTTGGTGGGTCGTGGTGGGCTCCTGGTGTGCCCTCAGGTCTTGGTGGGCTGCTGGTGTGCCCTCAGGTCTTGGTGGGCTGCTGGTGTGCCCTCAGGTCTTGGTGGGCTGCTAGTGTGCCCTCAGGTCTTGGTGGGCTGCTAGTGTGCCCTCAGGTCTTGGTGGGCTCCTAGTGTGCCCTCAGGTCTTGGTGGGCTCCTGGTGTGTCCTCAGGTCGTGGTGGGCTGCTGGTGTGCCCTCAGGTCTTGGTGGGCTCCTGGTGTGCCCTCAGGTCTTGGTGGGCTGCTGGTGTGCCCTCAGGTCTTGGTGGGCTGCTGGTGTGCCCTCAGGTCTTGGTGGGCTCCTAGTGTGCCCTCAGGTCTTGGTGGGCTCCTGGTGTGTCCTCAGGTCTTGGTGGGCTGCTGGTGTGCCCTCAGGTCTTGGTGGGCTCCTAGTGTGCCCTCAGGTCTTGGTGAGCTGCTGG